GGGGGTCCTTTCGGGAGTCACTGGGCCTGGCCGAGGAGCGGGGGAAGATCGCTCGGTGGTCTCGCCGGGAGCCCGGATTGGGGGCCTCGGCCTCCCGGGAGCCCCCGCCCCCCGTGCTGTTGCCGAGTCCGAGTCGCCCCCCAGTCTGGCGGCCGCACACTCAGCGGTTTAGCTGCTCCGGGCCGCGGTGGGGGGCCCGGGCCGGCGCGGGGGGCTGTGCCGCCTCCCGGCCCCTCGGTCCTCTGGCGGTCCCCGCGGCCCGGCGGACGGGGACCCCGCTCGCACTTGTCGGGTGTCCGCCTCAGAACGGGACGTGGGCAGAGGCTGCGCGGTGGGTCGGTCCTGCCCGCGGCCCTCCTCCGGCCCGCCTGGCCTCTCCGCCGCCCCCCACTCCGGGCCCCTCGAGCCCGGGCCTGCTCCGGCTCGGACGCGGGGCTGCGCGACCCTTTGGGGCGCCGACCAGCTCGTCCGGGCCCGGAGGCCCTCGGGGAGGACAGCCGGCCCCGCGCCGGCCCCCGGGCTTGTTGTGAGTTTCTTCTCTGACAGAAATGGCGTCATTGTCGGAGACGGGAAACTCCGGCGGGTCCCGACAATGGGGACGGGAAGCCGCCGAGCTGTGTAGGTGGCCGGGTTTGCGGGGCTGGCGAGGCCAGAGGGAGCCCCTCGTCGGCGTTTCGTGGTTCGGGGGCTGATGCCCGCCACGCTCTTTCTTCGGGGTTCAGGCTTCGCTCGGTTCCCTCCGCCTCCGCCAGTGCAGAGGGGTGCCCGGTGGTGTTGACTGGGTGTCTTTTGTTTTCCCTCCAGGTGCAGGTGAATCTGGTGTTTTCGAGGGGATCGCGGTCCCTGAATCATCATGAAGGTAAGATTGCTTCCAGAAAACGACCTCTGGGGTTACAGAATTGGGGAAGTATGGGGGTTTGATCGAGGTCGTGTGTGGGGCCTCCGAGTTTTGCCGAGGAAGGTGTGTTGGGTGGCTTGGTGCCCGAGCCCTTTGCCGGGAGACGACGGGGGTCAGCTGGTGTGGCTCTCTACCGGCTTTGCTGTGGAGTTGGGGCCACTTGGAGGATATCGCACTGAGCAGAATTCTGCCCTGTAGGACGTCTCCTTTTTCAGGGTAAGGTAGGAGGAACTGCTTGAATTAAAGTGTTTTACAAGGTAAAACAGAAAAAGCAGGTCAAGTAATCCGACTCTAGAAACTGAACTGTATTGTGCTTCTATCGATTACACTGATGAAAGAAAATCTCATTTATTGTGTGAACAGTACTGTGAATTTTTAGCAGAGGACCTCTAGGGTTAGCCATGAAAGTGATCTTAATTGAGAAATCCTTAAAGAGAATCTTTATGATCTTTACACAACTCGGAGATAGCAGTTGCCCCTTGTATTTCCTGGGATTTAGCATTATATGGTTTATTTTTCTTTGTTGATCCGTAAATTGTCAGATGTTGTGGTAAAAACCAATGTGGATTGATGTGGAAAGCCCATGGCCGGGTTCCTCTTAAATGTAAACATGTTAACTGAATGGAGGATAGTGTCTAAAGGGTAGAATTTACTTAGTCGGTGGAAGAAATTATAGCAATGGAAGTACTGGTTGTTTTTTTAGAGAATATGTAATTGAATGCTGTCATTTTTAAATACACTGTAGGATAAAAAGCCTTAGGTGTCTGAAATGTCTAGATTCAACTGGTGGAACTTAGACACTAGACAGCTTGTTCACCCGTGACAAATTCGGAAGTGCTTAAAAGGGTAGAGTGTGTTTACGAGTGTAGAAATGTGAAATAGTATGTGATAGTATGTGAAAATATAAATGTTGTCTACTTTGGATAGTTCCTTTGAATTATTTTTAAAAAAGTTTTCTTCGCTTGTCTTCAGAATCAAGACTTTTTATAGTATTGCATCTAAATGGAAATTTGTAATGTTTGTGTTTATGGAAGAAGTAAATGCTGTGGCCACTTAAATATTTATCAGCTATACAAAGTAAATTTAGTCCAGTTTTGGTCTTTTTTTTTTTTTTTTTTTTTTAGTGTTTTTTTTTTTTCCATCTTGAGTTTAGGGTGTGTATAACCTAAAACAGTTTATACCTGAAACAGTTTATATCTGCTGAGTTCCTGTCTCACCTTCATGTAGATGAAAAAAATGATCAGTGATGTCTCTGAAATGAATCCCTTTTGTTAGTCACAGATGCTAGCGGTGACTCTTGTGACCTATGTAAAACAGAGACAAGTGAATTTGTTAGGAAAAACTGTGTATCTTCCTCGCTGTTGGATGAGAATTTAAGAAAAGTGTTGGGTTAAATAACATAATAAATTCAGAAGCTGAATAACACAGGATTTAGTTTGTAATAGATGTTGTAATATGTCATAGTTCCCTGTATACTGCCTGGCACATCTTAGGTACTCTGTTAATGTTTGGTTAAAAGAAATGTAGTTAAGTTGAAGGTCCTTTAGATTTACATTTTCTTCCTTTCATTTCCCTTTTTTTTAACTTGTGTGTTTAAAAAATGAAAGTGCGTTGGAAACTTTAGCCTTAAAAGTTTCAAAATATTAGGCAAATGCAAATTTTTTGGTATCATTTTAGAACTACTAATTTTAAGTGCTTAGCATTTCCATTATTATTGCCTTTAAAAAAAGGTACTAGTAATGTTGAGTTATTAAAGTAAATTTCTAGTTTTGTGCAAAAAGAACTTCCTGTTATTGTACATGTAGTAAGTCTTCTCTTTGGGAGTCTATTAATAATCAGTAGTACTACAAACTTAGCTTATTTCTTACAACTTAATTTCTTATATGCTGAAAAGTTGAGAGGCTGCCCATGATTGGTATTTTCCTTTAACAAAATTGCAATTCAAGAAGTATTTAGTAGTGATTATATTGGGCTTAAATCTTTTATGTGTGTGTGTGTGTGTGTGCTCCCAGTTTCCAAATTGTAATGACAACTGAGCGATAGAAGGTTTTGTGCTATTTCTTAGATCTTACCAAACATATTCATACTTCGAGGTGAGCTTTTAAGTTTTTATTATCTGTTTTATTCCAGGAATTTTTTTATTTTATTAAGTGACAGTATACTGATGTCATTGGAAGAGTGCTTAGTAATACTTTTCTGGTTGTTGCATTAAAATGTATGTATCGTTTTAAATATTATATGTTTTAGCGACAATTTTCCTGTAGTACGTGACTTCAAGAGTGTATTTAAATAAAAGTCCTTTACTAATTAGAATACTCTATCTTGTAATGTTTTTGCCCAGTGTGGTTTTGAGAAATATGACTGTAGCACAGATGCAATAAAAAAAAAACAAACCTATTTATTGTGAGAGAGCACCAGTGCATGTAGGGGAGGGGCAGAGAGAGAATCCCAAGCTGACAGTGCGAAGCCTGATGCAGGGCTCAGTCCCACGAACTGTGAGAATGTGACCTGAGCCAAAACCAAGAGTCAGATGTTTAACTGACTGAGCCACCCAGGCACCCGAAAAGCAATTTTGTTCTTAACACAGGTCATGTTGTTGGTGTGATGTTGGATTTTTTTTTTTTTATCCTTTCTATAGATCTTTCAATGTCAGTAATAGCATGTTATCAGGAAATGATAGTTTATTGAAAGTTTATTACTGATTCCAAGACTTGATTATGTCAGATTCATTTCCTGCTTTGTTTTTAATGTTTATTTATTTATTTTGAGAGAGAGAGAGTACACACACATGCTCAACCCGATCGGGGGCAGGGCAGTGAGAGGGAGAGAGAAAAATCCCAAGCAGGCTCCACGCTCACCACGGAGGCCTATGCGGGGCTCTATCTCACCATCACAAGACCAGGACCTGAGCTGGTATCTAGCGTCAGATGCATAACCGACTTGAGCCGCACAGGCGCCCTTATTTCCTACTTTTTCCTAACTAAAACTTTGTTTCTACGTTGTGCATGTTATTAACATCTCTCATTACATTGCAGTAAATTTTCAAGTGAAGTGGCAGAGGCTGGACATTTCAGAATCTTTATGGGAGAAGTGATTTAGATGGTTATGCTTTGAATCTCCGGGAGATGGGCTTTTTCAGATGTTCCATTCTCTCAGTAATCACTGGCATAGAACACAGAAGTAATGGATTGTGTACAAAGGCCCTTTGCTCGCGTGCCTGTGCACATGCGTGTGCGTGTTCTCACCACCCTGCCCCTTCCCTCCTGCCTGCTTTCCCCCTTTCCTTTCCCTGGCTCCTCCTTTCCCTTTTTGTTTCTTTTACTTTTTTCCTCTTGTCCTTCTTTTTGTTCATTTCCTCTTTCCCTCTCCTCCTCCCTCTCCCCTCCCTCCCTCTGCCTTTCCCCTTCCCTTTTTTTTTTTTCTTTCTTCCTCTTCCCCCCCTACTCCCTTTCACAAATCATTCATTTAACAACAACCCCTTCCATGCGTGGGGCAGTGTGGAATGAAGGTGAATACTCTCAGAACTGCTCTCAGGGAGCTCCCAATTTAGTAGAAGACACAGAAAAATAAAGCAAAACAACATATACCCAATTTTAAGAGTATTGACGGCAATGTACGGTAATTGTGGTAAGTGCTGTGGGAGGGCAGAAGAGGACATCTAAATCAGAGTCATGGAAAGTTCTCTGGTGGAATTGACATCTAAGCTCAGTGTTAAAGCTTTCATTTGGCAAAGAAGGGTAGAAAAGAGTGTTTGAGTCAGAAAGGGGACTACATACTGGAAAATGAAAAAAACCCCGAGATGGTGTATTTGGAAAGTGTAAGTCGTTCACTGTGCCTCGCTTAACTTTGAAAGCATGATGTGTTTGGGGTGGGAATAGGAGGGCAGTGATAGGAAATGAGGCTGAGTGAGGGGGTTGAAAATTTTCTTGAAACATACATGGAAGCACGGAAGGTTGTTAGGAAAGAGTAAGGATGATGGATTTATATTCTGGAGTGGTCACTTTGGTAGTATCTTAGTGAATCCATCAAAAGGGAGATCTAAATGGAAGATCTGGAGATTCCAGATGAGAAGTCCAAGTGAGAGGTGAATAAGGGCTTGAACTAATGCAGTGGGGGTAGAGCAGAGGGGACAGATCTGAGATATCTCAGAAACTGAATTCAGGACCTAGTAACTCTGGGCCCCGGGGTAAGAGGAAGATGGAAGTTTCTGTGTTGGGTCATGGGATGGATGTTATTGTCATCTGAAGTATGTTGTCCTGAGAGGAGGAAAGCTGTAGTACAGGGTTTCGAGTATTGAAGGGATCTGTAGGATGTCCACATCTACTAGTCCGGATGTAGGATTAAGAGAGCAGGTAGGGTGAGGGGTGCGTGGGTGGCTCCATCGGTTAAGCGTCCGACTTCGGCTCAGGTCATGATCTCACAGTTTGTGAGTTCGAGCCCCGCATTGGGCTCTGTGCTGACAGCTCAGAGCCTGGAGCCTGTATCGGATTCTGTGTCTCCCTCCCCCCGACCCTCCCCCACTCACACACTGTCTCTGTCTGTCTCTCTCTCTCTCTACAGTTAATAACTTCTAACTGTACATCCATAATGTGGCATATGTGTTTTGTTCTATGAATTTGTGGTCTTTTTGATGAACAGGTAATTTTGGTAAAATACTGACTTGTTTTTGTGCCCATTGCTAATTCTTTGTTTTTTTGTGATTTTTAAAAGTAGATTAGATGAGCACATATTTCACTGAAGAATGTGTTTTTGCTGATTCAGTCTGTATATTGTGTACCTTCCACGTACTAGATGTGCTTTGAGGTGTTGAGGATCCAGCAGCGAACAAGAGTTCTTACCCTCATGGAGTTTACTTTCTATTAGGATAGACAGGCACCAGGCAGGGGGGGGAAAAAAGTGTGCTAAGTGCTGTGAAGAGAAATAAAGCGTAATCAGGATAAGAGGTTACAGTGACTGAAGGT